AAATCCAAACGCTGATACAGAGACTGGTTACCTCTGTAGAAGCACCAAGTCGAAACGCCAAGACAGCTGCTACTCGCTGGGCACTAAGTCAAACGAGAGAGTTACTCACTAAAACTTGAGATGAAGACTTATTAAAAATGAACGAGAGAGTTACTTATTAAAACTACCTAAGTCGAAACTTTTTCTTTTTATCCCTAAAAGAGCCCGCTGGAGGATTGCTTTGCTTTCTAACATCTCTTTCTGTTATCAAAATGCTCTTTAGCACTAGGCGTCTAGTAAGCGATAGCTATCGCTTACCTAGACAAAGGCCGAAGCACCACAGACACACTTCAAGCACAAACTCGTATTTGAAATAAATCTAGTTAGAACGGCCTCGGCCAAAGTCTTACATAGCCTCGAGCTCACTAGACTCTAATGGAACAATAATAATTAACCCTTTCATTACCCACCCACCCCCAATACCTTTCTTTTTACATTAATTCGTTCGTTTCCTCGGCTCAGTATACCGACTGGATTCATACGTACTCGTAAACCACGTGGGTCACGGTCTCGTAGACAGTGGGTGCTGGGCACGCAGGAGGCTGTGCAGAGTACCCAGGCGCCTTGGTGGGAGAGGGAGCAGCTGGGTGCGACACTTGTCCCACAGGCAGCGAGACCGTCTCCTGGGGCTTTGTCGACGTCTTGATGGGGCTGGAAGCAGGCATAGTCGAGTTGCCGTAGTACTTGGACGCGCTGGGCACGACAGTTACTGGGTAAGCTGTGGCTGGCTCGTTAGTCGAAATGGCCGACGAGGTTCCATTGATGCTGGGAGAGACGTAGGACGAGACCATGGTGGTGGGCTTGGCAGAAGGGGTGACGGTGGTGTTGGGGGCCACGGTCGAGGTGGGTGTGGGGACGACGGTGCTTGAGGCCTTGACGGAACTGACCGGAGTAGGAGTAGGCGTAGGCGTAGCCGACGAAGAAGACTTGGCCAGGAGGGGGGTAAGCTTGTTGAGAACCCAAGTCGACGCCGCGTCCGTGTACAGCTCAAAGTAGTTGAGGTGGTCAGCGACGACATTGCCGCTGGCGCACACTGGGTCGCCGGCAGCGCAGTACGAGCGCAAGACGTCCGAGTAGCGGTTGAGACGCTCAAGGTTGCTGCCGGTACGCGGCCACACCTGCTTGTCGGCGCCGTCGAGGACGTTGTAGGGCTGGTTAGCCGTGTGCTTGACATCGCCCCAGAGCAGCGCCGCCTTGACCGCCTTGCCAGCTGGCGACGTAGAGTCCAGGCCAGTCGTCTTGGTGTCGACATCGCAGGCGTCGGCGCCTCCTCCGCTGAGCAGCGAGCCGGCGACCATGGCGCCCTGCGAGTAGCCGTTGATGACAATCAACGTGTCTGGGCACTGGGCGTTGTACTCGGTGATTTGCCGGACACCATTGTACGCACCCTCCTGGATGGTCGGGCAGTACGGGACACCAAGCGTGGCATCAAAGACAATGTCCATGTAGTCGCAGGAGTAGCCGGCGGCCTTGAACTTTCCGCATGTGGCGTCGATGAAGGGCGAAGTACGGCCATCGTGGTAGGGGGCGTCGTTGCCACGGGCCATGAAGATGGCTACATTGTTGCAGGCAGCGGTGAGCTTGGGGGGAGTGGTGCCCTGCGCACGAGCGAGAGGAAGCGTGGCAAGCACAGCGGCAGCAATGCCCCGCTTGATTGATGTTGACGAGGGCATGGTGGTTGGTGGCTGTGGTGGTGACGGGGTGATTAGGTGTTGAGGGTTGCAGGCGATATTAAGGCTGGGTGGATTCGATAGCGACGGTGGTTACGGATTAAGGATTAGGAATAGTAGTATAGCATTGACATTGATCCCTTATGTCTTGCAGGTGTGGAGCGAGAGTGGGCGGCCAAGTGAGGAGGGTGCAAGAAGAAGGTGAGACGGCAAGGGAGAAGATATGTCAAACCCATGGTGGAGCCACCCGTATTCGCATTGCCCATTGTGCTCTAAGCATCGATATGTCGGTGGGGACAAGCACTACAGCAGTCAGGCGCATGCTTGCAAGCGCATACACTTTGGATACAGTACAGTACCCGAGCCGGGGGGGCGCTGGCCTAGCTCGCCAAACTATTGTATCTGCACATGCCATGCACCCCGAACGGACTAGAAGCCGGCGGCTAGCCCAGGAGAGCAAGTAGAGGTTATTTTGGTGGTGAGTCGCGTGGCCGGCCTTGCATTACAGCCACCGGCATTATGCCGCATCAGGTGAGTGAGGTGAGATGGGACCAGCCACCCGACCCGGCCGCAGCCCAGCAATATACTACATGTCTGCTATCTAATGTGCATATGAAGATGGTCTCGAGTATTCCCGCGCCGTGTCGGGATGCGTGGCGTGCAAGAGTCATGTAGCGTGCTGTTGAGCCAGTCGGCCGACTCAGTGCTGGTGCTGGTGCAGTAAGTACGTAGTGTGTACTTGGTAGATACACAGACACTTGGCCCGAAACACGCATCCTCAACTTCATGCCTGGACACCCTGGCCCACCCGTCTCAAGCTATACTGCTCCGGCACCCAGCACCGCTGTCCTGCTCCCCTCTGGTTCCTCCGCCTCCCACTTGGGCCAATCCCCCCGGATCGACCGGCCGTAATCTCTCTCTCTCGTCCGCAAAGCTGCACGCCGCGAGACAATACATAGTCATGCCGCCACAACATGGCATTTGCTGCATCGCGCCACATGCTGGAAAAGGTGAAAATTTTTCCTCTCCTGGTAGTCATGGTCATGGTCAAGGTCCTCGGCAAGGAATCGGCGGCAGATACGAGCGATGAGCTGGCCATGACAACAGAATCGCGACTGGCATCTTTAGCGGCCGTGAGACAAAGGTATTTTTGGGACACTCTGCGCCACGAGTGGGTCAACTCTGCATCCACATCCGCCATATCGGGAGTGCAACGCCTGTTAGCTATTACTGCATTCAATCGCCATGATGACCAAGCCGTACCTGTACGGAAATAACATGGACCGCCTCTATCATGAGTCGACCCACCACGACTCTAAACTCCAAGGTAATTGCGCCAGGGCAAAAGAACAAAAGAAGCATATGAGGCTCAGCAACTACGTAGGTGCGACACCCGTCTCGGCCATCCCATAATAGTCTTTGAAATTAAACCTTGACAAGGTTCGTCTTGGTCTCAAACTTCAGTCGGCCCAAAACTCTCTTACGCTAGCCCCGTTTTTGCCTGACAGCACCCGTCGGCTTCCGGTGTCAAAACACGCCAAAGGCAAAAAGAAAAAAAAAGAAACAAAGAAAAAAACATACAGCAGTCACAGGCATTCGCTAGTGGCCACCCACCCATCTACGAACCCACCACCTACAAGCTTGTGCTTGAGTCTCCCTAATGGTCACCCGCCCTGTAGTCTTGACCTATTTAGTACTAGGCTGCCAGTCCCAAGCTTGTCCCAAAACAGCAATGTCTCGTACTCAAGACCAGCCAAATCAAGTTGCTTCTTCTATCAATCCCTGTCCAACACTGCAAGTCTTCTACGTAGGTTGACAAAGAAGATTCACTACCGTCACTTATCTGGACCTGCTTTGCAGAACTAGTCATAGATCTGAATCAATCATACACACTCAACGACATTGGATTCGCTGGCATGTTTTCTGGCTATGTCTACCGAGTACGAAATTGTACTGGTGGTCGTCAAGGTACGCTATCTTACATTAGTCACACTATACCTTGCCAACATGTGCATACTAGAGAAAACCTGATACGACAACTATGATGATTTGTTAAAAGTAGGTTTAGCTAGGATAGTGAGTATCTGTAGCATCTGACAGCGTAAGGTCTGCAGAAAGTGTATAGCTAGCAATATGCCCCATTCCCCTCTCTTCCTCCTAAGTGGGTGGCTTTGGATCAGACTGTTTTATTAGTGAATTTCGAGCCTCTTAGGGCTGGACAGAGATATCACAAAAGAGAGCAAAGAAAAACAGCTCAAGATGAATTAATCCGTATTAACACACCAGTCAGCCCAAGAGACAGTTCAGATACAGTTGCAGTAGGATTTGGGAACTAGAAGTGGGACTCTTCGGGCTATACATGTAAGTAGTGCTTAACCCTTGTTTACAAGGCCTATTTAACTCCATGACTCAAGTCTGCTTGCAGACTTGGCGTGACAAAAAATCACTCCGAGCCGCTACTGCTAGCCCTGTCAAATCTCCACTCTGGAGCCAAATCCATTACAACAATGGCTTGATAACATGTACCGTACATCAATGATGCGGGTGGCTATCGCATCACCAACACGTGATTTGACAGGGACACCTTGACAATTTTGAACACAATGATTAAGCAGAGTTTACTACCGAAACCCTTGTAAACCATCGAATAGAAATACGAGGATAACACTTTAGTTTTAGTTGCATAGCCTGGCCAAGTAACAAACGCCTACAGGAGAAGTTGAACAAATGCTGGGTCCTCACTCTTATACAACTTCTCCTTTACCTTGTTAGATGTTAAATTTATAGATTAATAGTTTATTAGCTAACGCAAGACGTATTACGGTAATTTCTAAACCTAAATCATCAGGGGGCCAGGGTGACTAGTAATCATCAAGGCCTAGCCCCAATATTAAAATAGCATAGCTGTATGCACCTAGCTGAGTTACACGGGAAGAATAGACAAGATAACAAATCATCAACATGATGTAATTGTCGTACTCAGCAATGGTATACTAGCTACTGCTCTTAAAGGGCAATGAATAAAATAAGACAACAAAGTGTCAACGCCAATCCGATAACGAACAACCCAAGAAAAGTGATGTTGCTGTCGCACTCGTACACGAAACCGCATTCAATCCCGCTTGGCAGCTTCGACAGGAATGTCCTGATGGCTCGCCGCTGACCCACCACTTGGTAGGCCCAAACTTGTCGCACCGGGAGTCGTGGCTCCATACCCGTTCAACACGACAATATCGCCATCAGCATCGCTAAAATACTTGTAATCCAATCCCTTTAGCTCATCATCCTCGGTCGCTCTAATATGGCAGCCGGGAATCTTGTTGATAATGAAGAGCAGAATAACGGAGATGACAAAGGACCAAGTTGCGCATGTCGTGGCAGCAGCAAGTTGATAGCCCATTTGCTTCCAGTTGTGGTTCCACCACCCACCCTCGTACGTGTTACTCACGCCATCGAGCGCAGGGATATTTTTGGCTGCAAAGAAGCCGGTCAAAATGTCGCCTACGAAGCCGCCCACGCCGTGGATAGCAAAGATATCCAGGCCTTCGTCCACGCGTAGAAGATGCTTGTATTTGACTACGAAGAAAGTGGAGCAGGACGTGAGGGCTCCGACAAGCGCAGAGGTTTCAATAGGGATGTATCCACATGCTGGTGTGATGCCCACGAGGCCCGAGATGATGCCGGAGCAGAAGCCGATGATTGAGAATTTCCGAGTGAACAGGTATTCTAGCAATACCCAGGCGACTCCGCCGCCACACGCAGCAAGGTTGGTGTTGCACACAATGTAGATGGATCGGATGGAGATGTTGGCCGTCGAAGCACCTGGACAACAGGTTAATACGCAATGTCTAAAGGCAAAGCAGTCCAACACTCACCATTAAACGCGAACCAGCCAAACCAAATGAAAATCGTACCCAGGCCAACGAGAAAAGGACTATGCGGCTTGAAGTGCGGTATGCGTGGGTGATGCGACTCGTTATGCGGGTCTACACGCGGCCCCAACATGACTGCCCATGCGAGCGCCGAAAAGCCAGACGCGATATGCACTGGACCCGAGCCCGCGAAATCCAGAACACCCAGATTGTACAGCCATCCACTGGGATTCCACTCGGCATACGCCAGGATGTAGTATACAAAGGTGGTCCAGCAGAGCAGGAACAGCATCGAGGGTCCCAAACGACCACGCTCAAGCATGGCGCCAGCCAGTATCATGGCCGTGGCTGTCACGAAGGTGAAGCCAAAACAGGCATACATGATATCGGGTATGTCGCTGTTTGCGAGCGAAGGATAGGCCAGAGTGTTGTGCAGGCCAGCCTTGGACAAGTCGCCGATAAAGGGGCCGGTGGTGTGGGATTGATAGAGCGAGTATCCATACACCCAGAACTGGATGCCTGCAGCGCATGCACAGAAGAGCGACTGGAAAATCATGGTGAGTGCCGCCTTGCGGCGATGCATGCCAGCATAGAGAAAGCCGATTGCGGGTGTGATTTGCCTGGGTGCACTGTCAGCAAGGGTGCAATAGCACTGCTAACAAGACGAGTGCTGACCAGCAGAGCACGGTGCTGACCAGCATCCAGCACAAATCTCCCTTGTCATAGGGGGCGTTGAGATCTGTAGTCATGGGGTCGCCTCCAGCCGGATTGGTGTTGTAGTCGGGCCACTCCGTTATAGGAGTGGGCGCTGGTAAGGCAGCCATCTCCACCAAAGAAAGTATGGGCGACGAAGAACCAAGTAGTAGGTTGCAAGTAGTCTCTACACAAAAACACCCGTGTACCATGAGCCCGGGGCCATGGCAGCACTTGCAACTGTACATAGATGCCATGACACCACGATTTTGCCCAGGATAACCTTGATATGCAACGCGTCGCATGCTGCCGGGAGAGGGAAAAACTAATGTAAGACGCAGCATGGAAAGGAAGCATTCACCGTGAGTGGCATAGTAGGAACCACTAAGATGCCTTATCGTTCCACTTCCCCAGAGCACTGGGGGCGGTGGAGTCAGCCAAGCGGGCGGAGAGCGGGCGCCAACAAAACGCAGGCCTTGGCGGGAGATAACGATGCGTGGGGTTCTGCCATGTGCGACTCATCTCAACATCAACACTCTGGCTGCCCCGCGGCCTACTGTGCTCCCGAAACAAGCAGCCAGCACTTGCGCATGCCCGTAGACAGCGTCTCGTCGTCCATGGACGCGCCGTCGACCCATTTGCGGGTAGGCGGCCCCTTGCAGAGGGGCTCAAAATCTAGGGCGTTATCGGCGTCGATGCGGAAATGATGGGCGTGCATGGTGAGCTTCAAATGGGTGAAGACATGGACCAATGGCGCAAAAGAAGACACATGGCGCGCTTGGCCCATATTGGTTTTGCCTGGATCAAGGCCTGCGACGTATTGCTGGGCGAATGTCTTGCGCTGCTGGGACGTCGTCTGTGACGCCATTAGCGTGCTCTGCGGGAATTGCCTGTGCCACCATTAATTAGCAAGCGCCCAGTGCCCGATAAGGAGAAGAGCCGAGCGAAGGGCCTATCGTGAAGGATGATGCACGCCAATGCGCAACAGCACATTCTATGTACTTACCACAAGGATGCCAGAAGCCCTAGCCACTTTGTTAGCAGACAGATTACCCGCAGTACAGGGCACCAAACCTTTGCTGGGCCGCTGTTCTATCAGCCACTTGTTATTTCCGTCGGGGAAGCACACTTCCACCATGCACACGACGCAATCTTCCTCGGCAGCCTTCTTCTTCGCAACCTTCATGGGAAACAAAGAGCAGTAGCTCATGACTGGCTTCAAGTCGTCAGCCGCATCAGCCATTTTCCGCTTCTTCGACCCCTCATCTGGCGGGTCTTGGGCACTCTCCTGGTCAGTCTCGGTATCAGCCTTGGGCTTGGGCGTGCCGACGGCGAAGTAGTTGGAGATAGTGTTGGTCTGCTTCGCGGCCGTCTTTCTCTTCTTGGCTGTTCTTGGTGGGTCGTTTGCTGTGGCATCCTCGGGAATGGTAACCAGATCCTCGGTATCTAAAGAGGCGCACAGCGTGCATGCGTCCTCGATATCAGGCAGGGAAGCGGGTGCCTGCCGCTTTTCAGATAGCGCTTTTCCTTCGCTGTAGGCTCTGCACGTTGCTTGCACGGGGCACTCGTCACACCGTGGTCGTGGCGTACAGACGGTAGATCCGAGTTCCATCAGCGCTTGATTCCATAGTCCTGGCACAGCGCTTCTCGTGTGTTCCGGATGCTTGGACGCAAACTTGATCAACTGATCTGCCACATCCCACAGCACGTCCGTGGCCTTTTTGTCTTTGGCATCCATGTACAAGCCCAGCTGCCGGCTTAGCACTCTTGCCACATTGCCATCGAGTACAGGCTCGGGTTCGCCAAACGCGATACTAGATACTGCACCTGCCGTGTATCGGCCTATGCCTGGCACTTGTTGCAGCTCAGCCGCACCGCTGGGAATTATCCCCGAAGCACTCGGGGCAGACGTCATCTGCTTGGCGCCTTCATGGAGGCGGGTTGCACGCGAGTAGTAGCCTAGGCCTTTCCAGACGGAGAGAACGTCGTCGTGGTTCGCAGCAGCAAGGTCTTGTACGGTCGGCCATTTCTCTATCCAGCTGTTGAAGTACGGTATGACTGTCGATACTCGTGTTTGCTGTAACACTTTGACCCGTCAGTATGACTTTAGCGTGACATGTCAAGTTGCCTGTAACGTGATCCACGACATGTGAGCACGTGACACCGCGTAGGCGCGTTTTGCCCACGTTGCAACCCACACAATGCAATTACTTACTAACTTCAGACACCCAGACTTCGTACGCCCTCTTTGACAGCACGCGTCCGAGCTCTTCTTCCTTGCCTTCAAAATCTGCCGGGTCAATCCACTTTTTCCGCCATGGCATGCTACGCGTTTCTGCGACGCCATCAAACCAGCCCAGCAACGCGTCGCATGCTGGGCGGTCGCCTAAAAGGAGCGGATGGTGGTATGACGTGCTGTGAGAGCGCGACGGCGGTAGCGCGACGGCCGGCCGAGTCAAAGGAACCGGAATGATTGAGTTGCTGCATTTCGCCACCTTGTTAGCATTGGTGACCGCTGTGGCGGCTTTCTTGCGCGGAGCCATAACACAAGAGAGAAAAAGAGAGAGAGAGTGTGTGTGTGTGATTCTGCACTTTCAATGGGTGTCTAGGTAAAGGGTTGCCAATGAACGTGAAACTGCCGGGTGGGAAGGGAGATGAATGGTGTTGCGATCGCGCTAGCAAAGCCTAGCGTGATTACACCAGAGATCGGGCTTTGTCTCCTGAATGCTTACTGATGCATCCATTAGTATCCAGTATGCACTTACATCGTGTCCGCTCAATGTTTCTATGAATATTGGTATTGGTCCATGAAACGGCTCTCGCCACAATCTCAATTAGCTGCATTTTTTTTCAAAGCCATCTCCAAAATGATCAAAAAATGCGCGTACGTTATTATTATTATTATTATTATTATTATTATTATTATTCCATTAGAGTCTATCTGCAGTCAGTGACTATGTAAGACTTTGGCCAGAGGCCGTTCTAGGTACAATTTGTTTAAAGTGAGAGTGTTCTCTGTATAGTACTGCTATTGTGCTGCGGTTTAGTCGCTTCTAGCTGCGCTTAAAGCAGACTCCAGTTGCTGAAGAGCAGTTTAGTAAACAGGAAGAGATGTTAGACAGCAGGGCTGTCTTCCAGCGAGCTCTTTTAGGGCTAAGGAAAGTAACTTAAGAAAGTTTGTTAGTTATTATTGGTTTTAGGTAGTGTCTCTCTGTTCTCGCTTATTTTTAGTTGTCTTGTTCTTGGCCTAGATGCCAGCCTCTAGTCCCTACTCTAGTTTTAGCAATGAAAGCTAAAGTCGCCTCTCTGCCTTTGCTAGTGTGGAGGAGTAGTTGGATTGTTAGGTAGTTCTCGCGAAGAGTTGCTTTTAGCGCTGCCTTCTGTG